CATCCTCCTCCACTTTATATGGGACGCCGCCACAGCATGGCCCGCCAAAGCAGTGCGTCGGTGCGCGCCCGGGATCCGAACCAGCGAACCCCGGGCCGCCGCAGCGAAGCGCGGGCACCCAACCACTTGCGCCACCGGGCCAGCCCCCTAAGGTAACATTTTAATTGAGAATTTTGAAGTTATCAAATTATTGCCATTAAGAGTCAACAGAATTAAAATTTTTTACATTAATAAAAAGAAATGAGTTAACAGATGATAATATTAAGAATACTGATTGTATAAAAGCCTTAAGAATAACAACAAAATTTATTTTTGCTTTTATTAAATTAATAAAAATTTTAAGAGCTTTGAAAAATCAAGTGGACAAACTCATTTCGTCACTGGTAAGCAGCGCTGCACTTATTTTTTGTTCCTTAAAAACTCTATACAGTCCTTCGTTATTCATATTCTGTGTATCATATGTATAAGGGAAAAGTTATTTTCTTAATATCACACATAATTGCTTTTTCCTTTATCTTAACTCACAGGAATGTATCAAAGGGAATTCATTGCTTACCAATTTGCTTTCTGTACTGATCAACAGGAAGTTTTACAGTGGAGGCATCTTTTCTACCCATCTTTGATCTCCAAAATGCCTGCTGCAAAGAAAGAAAATAATTATGATGAAATCCTAAAAACTCAAAAGGACTATCTACAAACTTCAGGAATAATTTACTCCAAAAAATTCATTTTTAAAGCAATGGGTAAAAATGTCTTTGACTTATTCCCATTAGATATCAGTAAAGAACACAAAATTCTTTCAAATAAATTATCAAGGATACAATTGCTGGTAATTAAATTTCTCAATCATTTGTTCTTGGTAACATTCATTTTATCAAGTACTATCAATGCTAAATTAAACCACACTGTTAGAGAGCATTAACTATAAATGTGAAAATCATGAACTATTTATTCAGATGGGTTGGGGCTGAAGGCATGCTCCTGGCAGTATGCTTCTTTCCAATTACCTAATGTGTTACACAAAAACCCTAAAGTTTGGAATTTCAGGTAGTTTGAATTTTGTTTCAAAAAGCAGGACATAAGTAACAAAAGTGCATGAATTTGAATTCCAGTTCTGCCTCTCTTTCTGTAAACAGTATAAACGACTACCATTTACTAATAGTCTCATCCTTACTACATTACATGCACTGTTCGATTTAATCAACAACATATCTTTCAAATCCTATTTTTATTGAATTTATAAAATATTATAGCAGAGACTACAACCTACTCACCAAAATCCATATGCTCCTTTTCTTCCTAGCACACAGATTATATTTCCTAGCCTCAATTCAACATGTAATTGAGTTCTTGTCAATAGAATATGAATGGGAGCGATGTGTGTCACTTACAGACCTGTGTATTAAAAATCTCCCACGTAGAAGCCTGAAGTCTCTTTCCCCTTCCAGTCAACTAGAATGGAAATGACCCCCTGACAAACCCTAAGGGTACATGTGTAGGAACACAGAACCTTGAGCAGCCTGGGGTAGAGGAGGGTACTCTAACTTGTTTACCATGCTAGTACTCTACTGAGAAAGGAAGAAATTCTATTGTGATTGAGTCATCATACACTGGTGGGGTCTATTTATTACAGACTTAAGTGTTCCCCTGAATGGTGCCTGGAAGTTGTTCCTCACTGCCTCTATTAAGGAGCTACAAGATAAAGATTAGATCAGGCCAAGAATTGGCCCGTTCACAAGTAAAAATATAAGAGAATAAAGAGTCATGTAATTTGGGGACTAATAAGGTTGGAAAAGCCAACTTCTTCTAAAAGCCAAATGGCAGGAAATAAAAGTGAAAAAGGCTTTGAAGAACAAAGGCCCATTAAGACTTCTCAGTTAAAAAAAAAAAAAAGAGACAACAGATTAAGGATGTTCCTCTCTCACCTGAGCCTATTGTTTCAGATCACCTGGAGGCAGCCACCATTGGGTAGAAAGATAGAAGCATAGGAGTTCTGAAGTATAGAAAGAAAGCAGACGTGAGAACTATGTCTAGGAAAGAAATTGCAATGTGATTACTGGCACATGGAACTAACTAGAAACGGTAAGAAGGTTACTAAAATCTGAGGGAACTATATTTACAAGAAAACCGGAAACTTTGTCTAAAAATGTCTGTGAATGAAAACCAATCCTTGGGCCTGTAAACTTAAACCAGCAGAATGCAGCCCCCAAAGAAAGCAAACTGTAGATTTGTAATATCCACTTCATATGCGCCCAGGAAGGAGAACCATCCAGAAGGCAGGGCCCTGGAGAACAATGGACAAGAGGGTTTCTCTAAATAGACCATAATTAAGACCTAAGAAAGAAACTTCTACTGTCAGTACATGGGCCTTCTCAGTGACCACCAGCACAGCAGGTTTCATCGTCTCAGTGGACCAATGACTCGTGTGTGTTTCCCATATTTCCTGTTCTTCCCTTTCTAAATGGGAATGATTATTGCAGATATGAAGCAGATATCCTCTGTTTCACCACTTATTAGGGGCTTGGGGAGGCTGGGGAAGAACAGGTAAATTTCACAGTCTATAAAACTCAAGAAACCACATTTCAACCTGAGAGAGAGGACTATGCACTGGCTTGAGATCCTTGACTTTGTGCTGGATTCAATAACTAGGGAATGTTAGGATCTCCTCCCTGGGGCGGCAGGAAAAGGAGGTACATGACTATTTCAGGGCCAGAAAGGTAGAATATAGAAAAAAGTGTTGGCTGCTCACTAAAATACACGTTCTCCTTTCTTTCCTAGACACACTTGACTACATTTTCCAGCATCCTTTGATGCTAGTTGTGGGAACGTAACCGAGATTCAGCCCACAAAATGTGAGTATTTTAATGTTTGCTACTGCTAAAACTAACCTATTAAAACTTTTCATATGCATTCATTCATCTGGCTGAAATGGAGATGACCTCTAGAGTGACACTGAAAATAATGTAATGCAGATGGCAGAGCCTATGACAGCCTGGATCCTGAATGACCACATGGAGGAGAGGTACTCAACCAACTTGTTTTCCTCTTTTACATGGCTGCAAGAACAAGAAATAAACTTGCAGCATTTGAGCCTCTATACATTCTTGCATCTATTTTTTACAGTAGGTAGTATCACCCTAACTAAAACAAATATGTATAGGTGTCTCCATATAAACTGATACTATTATCAAACTGTAATTTTCCTAATGAACATTATAAAGGTTCTCAAATGCCAAATGCATTTGAAATCTGTTCAGACCAAACTGTGTTGTTTATCTACATATATTGTGACACAGGGCAATGCTAATAATGATCCCACCTAATACAGTAAAGGACATCTCCAAATTAATAATTTCTACTTATGTTAAGAAAATTATAAATTCAGCTAAAAATCTATTTTTCTATTCATAATAATCTTCAGACTTAAAATTATAATACTATCTAGGCATGTAAAAAGTAAGACAGAAATTCAAATAAATTAAGTCTTCACCTCTCATAAACCATGCAGTTATTACATCTAAGATCCTTAAAATTTTCTACATCCTTAAAATTTCAGAAAACCAAGACATTGCCTAATCCTATGTTCTCACTTGTTATAATCCAGAACGTTAAAAATAATTCTGTTAATACAAGTACCATGAAAAATGTCAATAGATATATTACAATTATTTGTATAGCAATATCATTTGCATAATGTTTTGCATTTATTAATCGTAAAGAGGAGTCAAGTTATTTTAATCTTGATTGTGTGGGGCTTGAAAAGATATCACTCCATTTTAGGAGAGAAGTTAGTTTAAAGGAATAACACACAAGATATTATTCCCTCTTCAATTTAGTTTTGTTCTTTGCCTTTATGGAATACGCTTAAAATTTTTAAAAGCAAATTACTAAGGCTCTCTATCAAAATGGCCACTCATTATGTGTCCTCCATTTTCTTCCTGGTCATTTAAACCAACATCCCAGCAGAAAGAACACTTTAGAGGTCAGTATTTTATTCATTCATTACCTGTAGTAAATAAAAAATTAAGGGATTCATAGAGAAGATTTTTTCACCAAAGTAAATTGGATTTTACTTATTTTAAAAATGTACTTTAAATAAAATTATACCAAAAAGAGCTAAGCATCTAAATTTTTATAAAGGCCTATACTCTATAAACACACATATTTTATATGTATAATAACCTGTGAATATAAAAACTTCAAAAGAATTTCAACCAAGGAGATATATTAAAATGGAACTGGTTTTAAATTTTTGTTCCCAATTATTTTAGTGATTGTTAATCCTTAATCAAAATTTCAAAAACTTAATTTTTGTCTTTGAAATTATTATATTCTATTCTTTAAGCAAAATAACATTTTACCAAATGTTGAAACAAAAAAATGCCTATAGAACACACACACACATGCAAGCAAATGACTCATATTTTATTAGCTGCAACAAACACAAGAAGGTGAAAAATATTTTACTTTCTTAATAAACACATTGAGGCTATTTTAAACGATCTAAAGAGATACCCATTCATGTGTATGGTGCAAACTGTCAATGCCTCAGACATCCAGAACCTCTAAAATGTCCTGACTTTTCTTTGTTCTTCAAAGCCTTGCAGTAATCATCATTCATTTCTATTGCTTTGATGGTTAGATAGCAAACTGCCCAGAAATCCAGGGAGACATTAGCACGCACAGCCGCAATTTCTAATAAGACAGCTATTTGCATACAAGATCAGCCACAATTTAAAATGTGTTGTGATAGATGTGGAAAGGGAATAACTGATTTATATTAGCATGTACAATACCAAGATTGTTTTCACAGTTTAATTCCTTGGAGATTATGTCTCATCACCTTCTTTTATAAAGAACACTGCATTCCCTGAGGAACTAACTTGCTCTGAGACCCAGCTACACTAAAATATGGATTAATAAGATAATATTTATTATTTATGAATTTTGCTTTAGGAATGATTTCAGATTAAATCATCAGAGAAGTTTTTAACATTCTTGAAACTTGATAACACATATTTAAGGAAGAAAAAAATACTAATTTTATTTAATACCTAAATTGCATATTAAAATAATTCGTAATTTTTTTTATTTAATTAGAACTTTACACTCTTTAGGACTTTTAAGATTAAAGATAGTGTTTTTGTTTTTAGTATGCTTTCTTAACCTGAATTTTGCACAGCAATTTTGCCACACATATTTTTAAGTATAATATGTGACCTTTAAAAACAAAGGTAGTGCTGTATTCAATCACATTCCGACCAAGTTATTTTATTGCTCATTTATACCTTTTTTATGAAATCCAAAAAGAACAAGAAATAAGAAACCTGAAGCTTTCACATATGTCTCTGCTTCCAGAAAAAGCATTCAATCCAGATTGTGACATTTAAATACAGATCAAAACACAGGTTATTAAAAGATTCAACCCATGACCACAGAAAAATAATCATCTCATTTTTTAAGGCTAAAAGATAGACCCTTACTTAAGAAAAGTCTTACTTAAGTATGAAGTTATAAATAGGCAGAAAATATGTTTGGTTATGGCTCGATCAGAATTGAGAGCCAATCATGAAAACAATCTCGTGCTAGATGCTGGGATGAAGAAAGTAGTGAATAGAGAAGACACTTATCCCTGCTC